CGCGTTAGGACTTGCCCGGCGGCCCCGCACCCATCAGCGCCCAGGGCCCCGCGGTCAGGCTGCCGGGCAGGCTCTGGAAAGGGTGCACGGTGCCCGCGCCCTGCCACTCGTAGGCGCGGAACTTGTCGCGCACCACCGCCGCCTCGGTGCCGGCGGGCGCGCCGTGGGCCGCCTGATGCAGGTGCAGCAGGGCTTGCATGCCGGGCAGCAGTGAGGCAGGGGTGTAGGGCATGGTGGCCAGCATCGCACTGCAACAGGGAGTATAGATTTTGGGCGGGGGTAGGGGATCAAACGAAGGGGATTGGGGAGGGTTGGGGAGGGGGGAGTCGTGACCACGAACACCATCTGGCGGGGAGGGGTCACGCAGAGCGCGGCGCGCATGCGCTCCCTGGCGCCCAGCCCCTTCACCATCCCTCCTTTCTTGGAATGACCACCAGCTGGCTTACCTCATGGGCAGGGGCTCATTGAAGTAGAGGTTGGCCAGGGCCACGGCGGAGCAGGCCACGTGCGAGGGCGCAAAGGCGAGCATGCCGTACTCCAGCATGGACAGCTCCTGCGGCAGAGAGGGGGGGAGGAAGTGGGGTCAGAGGCCCAGCAGACATCAGGTGGGTGGGAAGGAGGAGGAATCAGAGATGTCCAGTACCCAGGGGCTCACCCAACCCACCATCACAGCCAGCAGCTTCGTCACAGGGAACCGCCCAATCCCTCACACTCTCCTCAAGGCCAACCACCCAGCCCCCACACACTGCAACCCAAATCATACTGCACAACGTCCGCGCCAGCACACCGTCAGGTAGCAGGCCAGCGCGCTGGAGCGGGGGTTGAGGCCTAAAGCGCGGTTCAGCAGCAGGAGGAAGGTGTAGAGGGTCGGGCAGTTGACGCGGTAGGACAGCGTCTGCAGCACCGCCAGCTCCGCGCAGCGCAGATCGGCCTCGGAGAAGGAGCCGTCGCTCAGGCCCGTCAGCTCGCTCACTGCGGGGTGCACCTCCTGCGTTTCAGGCGGGCGGGGGGGAGCAGCTCGGAGGGGCATCCTGGGCGGCATCGACACATCCCAGACCGCGGCGGTCACCCGAGCGTCTCGTGCCCTGAGGGATCCCGCCCAGAGGTGAAGGGCATGTGCCCATGCAGGGGTCCACCGCCCGCCACCATTGCTGCACCCCACAAGCAGGGGCCCCACCTCTTCGTGCTTGGCCGCGATGAGGAGGCAGGCTGTGCACACCAGCTGAAACTTTGCGACGGGGAAGGTCTGGTGTGTGTGTGTGGGGGGGGGGTGTGGTAGAGCGGGTGTGGGGTCAGTTCTAGGATGATCCACATTCACCGTGAGCCTTGCCCCCGAGGGCATCAGGCTGGCAGGGTACGGACCATGCTCACGACGGCTGCCTCTCTTGCCGGCACCCTCACCTGGGCCGCGCTCATGTAGCGGTCCAACAGACTGACTGCCAGCGACAGCGCCTCCTGGGTCAGGCCCTGGTCCAGCGCCACCTCCACCATCCAGCCCAGGCCCATGCGGCGCATGCCGGCGGACAGGCGCGGGCCGTGCCGTGCCGAGGTCGGGGAGTGGCGGTGCAGGTACTCGGCGTCGGGGCGCAGCTCCGCCTCCTGCTGGTACGCCACGCTGCGAACACATGCCCGGGGTGCAGAGTGGGGGTTGAGCGGGGCGGGCACGGGTTGAGGATGCTCAGGGGGAGGTAGTGAGGAGCGGGTGGCATGTTTGTTTTGTGGGGGGGGGGCACCCTGTTGCTGGTGACTCTCAAGGACCTTGCAGACGAAGCACTGTACAGCATGGCCACCACACCTGAGCATGCCGATGATGTCCTGGTCGATGGAGGGTGCGGGGTGCTGTTCCAGGCCAAGTGGGGGTCGAGACATGGGTGAAATGGAGCTGTCCCGCCACGATGTACCAGCACCCGGATGTCCGTCCACACCGAGGCCCCCCCAAGCCGCGATGGTTAGGCTGCTGCCATCGCTGCTCGCTAGGAGGGGGCCCAGGCTGCCGGACGCGGTCTCACTCTGATGCAGGCTGTTCCAAGACTCAGAGAATGGCACCTGGGGTGTGTGTGGAGATGATTCGGTCGCTCGACTGCAAAGCCCGGCCTCGGATCGCCGAGCACACTCCCTCGGCACGCACCCTGCACTTGCCTCCAGACTCTTGATCTGACATGATGCCTTCTGATGAGCAGCGGTGTCGATTTGCTGCGAGATGGCGGGGGAATTGATGTGTTTGAGTTTGGACCTTGCCTGGCGGGCTCGGGCGCGCAGCGTCGCAGAATCCCGGCATTTGCTCTCCCGGCAATCCAGAATAGCTATAAACCGCAAATACTGCACATGTGCAGCAACTCGAGCATTGCAGGAGCACCGCCTACCCACCATCGATGCCTCTCAGTCTGTGCCTGCACGCCCTAGGCACCTAAACCTGTCCTCCTGATCCGTATCGCCCGCGGGCCACCAGCACGGACGGGGACGTCTCTACCGGAGCCCGGACTCTAGATCGATTCAGGCACCAGGGTTTCGACCATCCATGGATGGCCCGGGGAGCTCGAAGAGGGCCGCACGGCCCGTGCGAAAGGTCTGTGCGCTGATGTTGGCTTCCCTATTTCCAAGCGTGAGGAGCTCTGCAATGAATAGTATAGCGAATATGCAAGTGCAAGAGGACCTAGACGTCGACAGAGGCGCTTGTTGTGTTATGCGATCGAGGTGTGTTGTCCCTGGAGGCGGGGTCGTTTTCAAGAGAGTCCGTTTCCTGGACCTACCCTCCCCCCCCCCAGCCGACGTGGCAAGAATCATGCATGATTGCTCTATGCAACTCAATATCGTCGCGATTGAGCATTAAAGGCGTGCTGTCATACTCTTGTTCATTCTGAAAGGCTAATGCCAGGAAGGCTTGGAATAGTACGGGTGCTCGCACCGCGACCCTGTCCCTCCCCAACTCACAACCAGCTCAGGCACCTTCCGAGCTGGAAGAGTGCCTTCATTGGGACGCCACCATCCACTCAGCCTCGTATAATTTGGATTTTGCACTTTCAGGTCCGTACACGACGACTCCCCTGGCGTTTTCATGCTTTGCGTCAGCAACTGCCCCACTCGTCGAATAGGGGTCGCGCTACCTAGGTGAGCCATCGCCGCATCCTCTGCGAATCACCAGTATGACTCTCAACTCCAGGATAGGGAATGAAACAACTCAAAGGTGACACATCCGGTCACACCGCTCGCCCCGATCTGATCGAATCTTCCCGGCATCTGCGGCGCCCTCGGAAGCTGTATTTCGGACCGAATGTGTCCGTACGCGCGCACCTGCTCCCACCTCGGACTTCAGCATTCCTTTCCTGTAACCGACTTACATCAGACATTCACACCAACGATTTTGGCCGGACAGATCTCCAGCACGTTGCCAGCCTTGCCCGGTAGTCCTCCCTTGAGCACCAGCGCACCGTTCTCCTCATCCACCAGAAGCACCTGAGGTTGTTTGGGGGGGGAGGTAAGGGTGTCTCTCTGCTCTGGGGCAAGGCATTCCAGACGAGGTGCAAGCGCTGCTCTTCACAGGGCAGGGCGTCTGCAGACACTGGCGCCCCAACACACTCCCGCCTCACCTCCACTTTGCGGATCTTGACACGCTCGTTCCCCATCTGTCCCGGCATCTTCACGCCCTTGAAGACGCGACCCGGGGTCGTGCCGGGACCGATGCTGCCATGCTCGCGCTTGGACTTGGACCCGTGCGTCATCGCTCCCCGGTGGAAGTTGTACTTCTTGATGCAGCCTTTAAGGGAGGGGGGGGGGGGGGGGGTTGAAGCACCTGCGTGAGGCCGTAGCCCAACTCATAGAGAGGCCCTCTCCTCCCACATCTTGAGTTGCAGCTCCCATGCGCGCACGGCTCAACAAGACGCGATCCTCACCCTGGAATCCCTTGCCGATGCTCGTGCCGGCAACGTCCACAAAGTCGCCCTCCTTAAACATCGAGGCAATGTTCAAGGCCTGACCAGGCTCAAGTCCTTGGGTGTCCTTTACCTGTGGGGGAAGAGAGGGTGGGATGCATGGCTTCAAGGAGTCGAAGTAACTGGGCCAGGTGCGGTGTGCACAAGTAGAGTACCCCTTGGGGGCTGGCACCACCTCCCCCAGTTCTCTCACCTTGAACTCCCTCAGGAACTTCATGGGCGGCGCGCCCGCCTTGGCCAGGTGGTTGCGCTCTGGCTTGGTGATCTTACGGTCGGGGACGACGCGGTACCCCACCTGCACGGAGTTGTACCCCTCCCGGCCCTCCGACTTGAGCTGGGTCACGATGTTGCCGGGCTCGAGGGCCACCACCGTCACGGGGAGCATGTTGCCATCCTTGTAGATGGACGTCATGCCAGCCTTGGTGCCGAAGATTCCCACACCTGGCGCAAGGGTGGATGTTTGGCTGTGGAGGTGGCAACATGGGTGGGACAGGATGGGCCACCGTGCGTCGTCTGTCCGCCTCGCAAAGGCCTACCCACAGTCCTTACCGGCCTCCATGCTGCGGCAGCTGATCGTGCATTTCCTCTGACGCATGGATGAAGACGTCGTGAAGGGCCTCAGCGCCGCGCCGGCCCCATGCAGGCTCAGGCTGCTGAGGGATGCCTGCACAGGTGCAAGCATGACCATGGCGACCCCAGTGGCAGCAGGCGGAGTCGATGCCTGTTAACCACTCGCTCTCCCGAAGCACCAACGGGAATGATCCAGTCAAATGTTTGGTTGCCACGGAGTTCGCTCGGAGGGTGCCGGCGAGATGGGAACTGCGGGTGCCTTTCGTGGGTTATCCGTTCGCCTCGCGGCTGGCGCCAAAACGGGGGGTTTGCCCAACACCCACGTCCGTGGCTTCTGCTTTATTACATATCGGCATTCCAGGAGATCCCTCAGCATGCATGCAAGCCTGAATTATGGTCCTGATCCAGTGTGCCATGCATGCTTCTCAGCCTGCGGGCCTCCGTCACACCGAGCCTCCGCTGAAATCCATCTCCTGGTCCAGCCGTCCAGAGGCCTTGTAGGCCTCCACCAGCTGCGTGTGCGGAGCAACCCGGCACTGAGTGCCTGCACAAGAGCTGAAAGCCGCACAGGGGTACCTTCCACGCACTGCTGCCTGCTGCACCCTGGCGCAGGCACTCGCTCGTCCTCACCTCGGCTGCATCCTGGGTGAACGTGTGCTCTGGCTTCCAGCCCAGCTCACGCTTGGCCTTGTCCGACGAGGCAAAGAAGTGCCCAGGCCTGCACCGGAGAGTGAGCCATTGATTTCGGCAACAAGCGCAACGATGCTGCTTGGGATCGAGCATCTGTGATTTTGCAGATGTTCGAGAGAGGCCTCAAACCCCACCGCATGAGACACATTGCAGCGGCAGCACTGCCCAGCAGAGGCAGGGGACCTGCTTACCCTCAGTCATGCGGCTCTCCACACCATTCCCGGCATCCCTCACCTGAAGGGAAACCCCGTGGCCTTCAGCTTCCCGGTCTCCTCGGCGTCAAAGGGCGCGAGGCGTGCCTCCCGTCCCGCCGCCTCTGCCAGGATGTGCACGATGCCTGCAGGACCGGGCATGCAGACCACCTTGGCTGGGGACTAGACAGCACCCCTTGAGTCCACGCCACAGCGCCAGGGCCACCTCCAAGCCCCCCGTCGCTGCCGCGCCCCCCTCGCCCCACTCACCTGCATGGGTCACCGCGCGGTCGGAGCACACGTTGAAGTGCTGGCCCAGGGCGGCCGGCTTGCCCGGCACCGCCGCGGCCACCATGGCCGCCACGTCGGCGACGTGACTCAGCGTGACCAGGCCCAGCCCGTTACCGGGGACGGGCACCGGCTCGTCCCTGGGAGGCGGAGCGCATGTGGGAGGGGGGTGCCATGAACGCCAGGGCGTGGGCTGGAGGGGGTTGGCCGTGCACTCGGGGCCGCAATCCGCGCACCCTCCCTCCCCTCCCTCCCCCACCGAAGGATGCGGTCCAGGAACCACTGCTCGCAGTCCTTGGCGGTGTGCGGCCCATAGATGTACAGCGGCTGGAACACGGTGTAAGGCAGATGCTCCTGCTCGATGTACTTCTCCACGGCCACATGCCCTGACAGAGGGATAGAGAGCAGGGCCGGAGATGGAGTCCCAGGTCAAAGGGAGGCTCCCAGTGTAAAGTAATACCCCCCCCCCCCTTCCACCCGGGCCCACCAGCAGACTCCTTGCGGGGGTCCCCCTCCACAAGCGGGGGCTGGTTGGGGTCGGGCTTGTATGCCCCGGCAGAGGCGATGAAGATGTACTGGGTGCCCTTGCGCCCCTGCAGCGTCCAAGTTGCGGGCGTCATGGACTCATCGATGCATGCAGGGGGAGCCCTGCCATGTCCCGGCATGGCATTGGAGGAGGTGCGTCAGGCATGGTAACCACAACCTTGCCCAGAGAATCAGGAAGACCCCGCACCGCCAGCCAAATCCCATGCCGCATCACCTTGAAGGCGTCGATCAAGGGCTTGCAGGTATCCAGGTCCTTCCCGTTATTCTCGACGACGACATCATAGGGCTTGAGGGACTCCAGGAAACTGCTGTCGGTCGCATCCCCCCACACCACCTCCAGCCCCTTGACATTGGCATACTCTGCAAACGGACCGTTCTTCTCCAGCTTCTCCTGCAGGTGTGGCGCAAGGGTGTGAATTACTGGTCTCGATCCGCCTGGAAGATGTGGTCCACGTATGAAGCCGCTAGAGCCATCAGCACACCCGCATCTCCACCACCACGTGCCTCGGCACCTTGGATCCAGCATTCAGAATGGTGACCTCATGCCCCTGTTCCAGGAGCCTTTGAGCCAGGTGCAGGCCCAGGAAGGCATGGCCCCCGCTCTTGGTGTTGGAGATCAGGACATGCTCGGCCCTGGGCGCCGCGCGCCGCGCCAGCGCCGCCCTGCGGGTCCTGGTGGGTGCATGGAGGGGCTGTCCCGATAAGGTGCGATTGCTCGTCATCCCGCCCAGCATCGTCCCTGATGTCGAGAAACAGGCTAACCTATACCAAATGTATTGACGACCCGCACGGATGGGCATACCTGTTGCGCCCCATGGGCCTCCATTGCAGGACATGACCCAACTTGTGCTGACGGGTCATGGTGATCTCAATCCGGCCCACGTGCGCGCATCATGCGGTGGATGCACAGGCTCACATGCACCATCCGCTTTAAACAAAAAATCGAATACCAAAATCAGCATTCAATTAGGATCGAGGGATCGCTTGCTGTTGTGTCTGAGACTGTAGAATGTCTTGCAGTCCAGGTTGCACGAATCGCAGCTTGTTGCCAATTATAAGCTCCTCTCTGGCTCGTCCTTCGTTGGTCCAACACCGTCGATCACGCTATTATAATGGTATTCCGTTCAAGCTACTACCTCTGCAATATCATGAGAAAGGCCTCCGTCATGTTGGTGCTTGCCTAAGCAGCCCCGACCATCAAGCGTCATCAAGCCAATTACCTGGGCATGAGGTATGTTGGCAACAGCCATGATGCAGAATAGTTTTGGGGGACATGTGCACAGGCATTTATGGCCAAATGTAAGCGAGATGGTGGGAATAATCTCCCAAATGCAGTCGTAAAATTTTCATGTCCTATCCGTATGGTGCTCCCAGGGACTCAAGGTAACCAGCAATGACCAGCAGGCATGGGATGCCTTGAGCGGGTGTAGTGAAGCTGACTCCCAGTGTGTGGTGGTGGACAGGTCCCAGTGGGGCAGGCTGCGGCTGGTGGGGCCAGGAGCCTTGCCCCTTCTACAGGGTCAGTCCACTGCGGATGTGATCAACCTGAGACCTGGCCAGTGCTGCGAAACGGTGCGGTGTTTGCATGTTGGGGAATTCAATGGATGCATGGCGCTTGAAGATGGAGGCAGCGTTTTATGAGGAGGCACCTCAAACAGGAACACAGCGCGTGTACATGGAAATGCGGCGCTTGCGTCCCTACCTTCCCATCCAGCCCCACCTTCTTTCTCACATCCCCCCAGGTGTTTGTGACGGCGACTGGGCGCACCGTGGACCTGGCCCTGGTCGTGGTGGAGAGTGAGGAGAGCGTGCTCCTCCTGCTATCCCCCGGCATGCAGGGCCCGGTGTATGACCGCCTGGACCGCCACATCTTCCCCTCAGACAAGGCATGCCTGGACGTGGCGGTTGGGGGATGTCATGGGGGGGATGCTGTGCAGGCCTGCAGTAATTTCATTCTGGTGTGGCCCTGGCATGGGCCGGCCCTTGACCCCGGCGCCTGGCCCCGTGCCAGGTCAGCGTGGAGGACGTCACGTCGGCCACCTCCATGCTGAGCCTGCTGGGGCCCGGGGCCCTGGGGATTGCGCGATCCCAGGGCCTCGTGACCGGCCCTGATTTTGAGCCCGGGTCCAGCCACGCGTCGCGCTGGGCGGGGGACCGCAGCGTGCGTGTCGTGCGGGACCCCCTTCTGGGCAGGGCCACGCCCGTCGTCACGCTGGTCTGCGTCGGCCCCCTCGGCGACGCCATGGCCCTGCTCAGCGGCGACCAGGTGAGCGGGGGCTGCTGGTCTGAGGCAGGGCATGGACTGAAGGGACTTTGGGTCAGGACTTCATCTGGTTGCCAGCGGTGGGGACCCTCCCGGGCTGGATCGTCGCCCCCTGCCAAACCCTGGGATCCACGGCAGCCGTGCGGAAGGAGTGCGACACGCCCAGACCCATCCCCTTTAACGTCCACCCACCCACCAACAGCGCTGCCTGCCCGCGGGCGAGGGCCTGCTGCGCGCCGCGCTGCTCGTGGCAGGTCGGCCCCTCCCCGGCGCGGAGCTGACCCCGGAGGCTAACGCGCTGGAGGCGGGGCTGTACCACGCCGTCAGTCTGGGCAAGGGCTGCTACATGGGCCAGGAGACGCTGAGTAAGGTGCACAGCAAGGGCCTGGTCAAGCAGCGGCTGGTGGGGCTGGAGGCGCGCGGGCCTGTGCGCGCGGGGGACGCCGTGGTGGTGGCGGCGGCGGGCGGCGAGACGGCTTCCCTTGGTGGCGCAGGGGCGTCAGCCGACGCCGTCTCACAATCCACCGCCGCCCCGATGACGTCGCCTGCCGCCTCGATCACGTCATCCGACACCCCCGCTCCGCCCGCGCGGCTGGGCACCGTCACCAGCGCGGGCACCACGCCGGCGGGGCGGCACCTGGCGTTGGCCTTCCTGCGAACCCGCGCCGCCCAGGCCGCGGCGCTGGAGCAGGGCGTCGGGGCGGGGACGGACGCGGGTGGGCCGCTGGGCCTCAGGGTCGTCGTGGGCGGCGTCCCGGCCATCGTGGCGCCGCTGGCCTTCCCCACCTGGGGGTTTGCGCCAGGGGCGGCGCCCGCGCCGGCGCAGGCGCAGGCGGCGGCAGCCGCTCCTGCACCCGCAGGCGGGGGTGCCGAGGCGGAGAGGCGGGCCGCCAAGCGCGCCGCCGCCCAGGCGGCCATTGAGGCCTGGCAGGCGCAGCAGAGGGCCGCCGGCCAGGGCCCGTAGATGGCGACTGCCGGCTGGACGCGGCGGACTCGCCCGTGATCCCGCTCCTTTTAATCCATGTGCATTCACAGATGCCACCGTGAGGGTGCTGCTTGCCATGCCAGCGTTTTACAAGCAGGGGGGTGCAGATTCCGCTACAGGGGCAAGGGGAAGAAGGGGAGGGACGGGGAGCACTGAAAGACGGGAGGAAGAGAAGGATCCATGTGTTTGCCAAAGGCACTCGAGGAGGCGCAATCCTGGGAAGTGGAGGACGCAAGTCTCTCGCCTCCAGGTGTAGAGCGTCGTCCACTCATGGGCAAGAAAACGTGCAGTGCCGGGCTCACGCTGCGTAGAGCACAGAGGACAGGTATAATACGAAGGGGGAGGGGGGGGGGCGGGGGGCGAGGCTCGGGCTCTCATGCGCTCACGACGTCGGGGATCTGGGCGCGCCGGCCTCAGACCACGGTGCCAGCCGAGGCGAAGAGCGCATCGGTGCCGATGATGGAGGCATCCACCAGGGACGAGGTCGAGCGTGACATGTTCTGTGCATGGTGGGTGGGAATGGGGGAGGAGACTCAAGGGCCTGGAAGCCCAGTGCTCAGCGGGTGCAGCATGCCGAGGGCTTGCTGCTCAACCCCCGAGTGTATGCACCGGCGTGGCCTGACACAGGCGCTCGCCCTCCCGCCCTGCAGCCGCCCTCCGAGCCAGGCGTGCCCACCTGGAGCGAGCGGTACTCTCGCAGGTAAAAAGAGAAGGTGGAGGAGCCAAAGCCCACAAACAGGCGGCTTTTGGACAGGACGATGAAGTCCAGGAGCGCCTCCTGCTCGCTGTTCAGCACTGTTGTTGGAAAGGGGGGGGGGTGCAAGAGGGGATGGAGGCAAGGGGCGTGAGAGGGGGAGCGGAGGGGGCTCCCCCGCACACGATGCAGGCCAGGCTGGCCGCCATCGCCGCCGTACGGCGCCCCCTCCAAGTGTACCTGGCCCCGCACCGCGCCAGCGCGCGGTTAGGACAGCGCTTGCCCTCCACAGCCAGCCTGCTGTGGCGGCACTCCGGCCCCCATCACATCCTCCCCTCGCATGCATCCCCCCTCTCACACTCTTCCCCTTCCCCCTCCGCAGACGCCAAGAAAGGACGAATGACAACCCCTTCACCCCCCACGCCAGGACTCACGCTCCAGCTCGGCCTTGGGGATGTACATCTCCTTGTGATGGATCTCGGAGCAGACGCGCATGTGCTTGAGGAAGGCCACGGTGCGCAGCATGTCGGTGGAGGCGCCGTAGGTCAGCATGCCGCTGGCGGCATACAGCGGCACGCTCTCGTTCTGGCCCACGCCGCGCATCGTCTTCACGTAGCTCTGCCACACCACCTGCAAGGGTCGACGGACCGGGAGCGTGGCGGGTGTGGGGGGTTGGGTGGGGCGCTGGCAGTGGGGCGGCTGGGCCATGGCTCCTGGGTTGGGGCATGCATGCGTCGATGTCGTGCGCCGCTCCGTGCACGTGGTGGGCTCGTCCACGCACAAGCCTGACAGCCGAAGCACCGACCACCAGGCGGGACCACCGAGACACTCCACATCCGTCCCAGTCATCCACCCTCCCCTCACATCTCCGCCCAGCTGGCCCTCCGCATCATCTCCCCCACCCCCCCAAGGCCCCCAGATCACCCACCCTCCCCTCACATCTCCGCCCAGCTGGCCCTCCGCATCATCTCCCCCACCCCCCCAAGGCCCCCAGATCACCCACCTGCTCCCCTCCCATGATCATGGCCCAGTCGCGGGCGTCTTTCTCGATGCGCAGGTGCACGCCGTTGAAGGGCAGCACGCCGCCGCGCGTCATCTCGTCCACCACGCGGTCCGCCAGCGCGTGCAGGGCTGGGGCGAAGGCCAGGCTGCGCGCCACGCCGGACACCAGGCCCAGGTCGCTCAGCGTGCGCAGCATGAAGAAGGAGCAGGGCAGGTCCAGCACCACATAGGGCACCGCGGCCGAGGGCGGGCCTGAGGAGCCGCGCGCCGCCAGCAGGCGCTCCCGCGCCCTGCCCACCACCGCCTCCCGCGCCAGGTCCACCAGCTCCCCCAGCTCCATGTTCTTCAGGTACACGCCCTCCACCCTAGGTCAAACAAAGGGTGGAGCGACCGTGTGTGCAGACATGTGTACCTGTGGCGTGTCGGCGCCCAGCCGGGGGCCATCGTGTCGGCAAGAGCCTCGAGCGCCACAGGCGCCAAGGCGCCGAGTCCGCAGCTGGCGCCACTGCCACCGACCGAAAGAACCTCCCCACAGACCACGGCGATGCCGCTCCCGTCCAGTGTGACCCCATCCTCCTCGCCACACCTCACAGCCGAGACGATCCCCCCCGTCCCTGTCCTGAGGAAGAGTCCATACATGACATAGGCAAGTTCACCCACCTGACCACCAGGTCTGGGTCCACGCCGGGCTGGGCGTAGAGGGGAAAGGCGACGCCGGGCTGGGTGAGGTCGGGGAAGGGCGTCAGCGCCGGCGTTTCGTGCACGTGGATACCCCTGGCCTTCCACCAGGCGATGAGGGCAGGGACGTCCAGGAGGGAATCCAGGGGGACGGGTGCCCACTGCACCTCGTTCTTCTCCTTGAACACAGAGAAGTAGTGTGCGAAGGAGTCGCGGCAGACGGCGGGGGGCAGCACCACCTCCGCGCCCAGCACGGAGGCCAGGGAGAAGGCGGCGATGTGGGAGTAGTGCTGGTTGATCAGCCCCGTGCAGGCCGTGTAGCGCAGGAGGACACGCAGGCGGTGCGCGACCAGGCCCTCCTCCCGCCCGTGCGCCAGGTAGTGCTCGGCGGCGGCGCGGGCGCTGGGCAGGTCCAGGTGGGGGTGGTAGGCGCGGTACGCCTCGGCATCAAAGTCCTCGGGCAGGCCGGCGGGGAGGGCGGGGGGCGTGGGCGCGGGCGAGGCGGGGAGGGGCCGTGGTGTGGGGCCCTGGTCGGCCCCCGCAGCCGCCTCCGCATGGCGAGCCAGCAGCCTACTGTCCGCCACCAGGCCCGACAGGCCGCGCCGGCGCGGGAAGGCGCCGCTCAGGGGGTAGGTGTCGGGGTGCAGGCCCAGGAACAGGAGGCAGGTCGTGACCGCCAGGAGCCCGGCCAGGAAGCGGAGGTTGCTGGGGTCGCGGATCGGTTGCAGGCCCAGGGAGGGGGTCCCGCCAGGACTGTTGGTCAGGTGCAGCAGGCTGCCGCGGCGTGAGGGGCCACTGGAGGTGAGGGGCAGCATGGCGGGTGAGGGGGGGAGGGGGCAGGCCTCCACGCAGCGACGTCCAGCTCCAGATGTCGGAGCCGGGTCCCTACCAGCGGCGGCCTTGGGCCGTCATCTTACTCGATCCATGCAGTACTGGATTATTATATGCCTATGACGAGGACCTATGGACCATGCGCGAGAGACCTTGGCGCTTCCGCGTACGCTAACCTGATAATACGGCTGCCGGGTGGTGGGGGGGCAGTGGCATAGATCCTTGCTCCATCCACATTCACCGTGCTGAGATTGATGTACAGATCAGTTGTTCACCATTCTTTGCGCGCATGGAGGTGTCGAGGGAGACGAGCGAGTGCTCTGTAAAATTCATGAGTGAGGCCCATTTCGCGCCAAATGGTGAAACTTGCTGCCACTGACGCGACACACCACCCGCCCATCCAGACATCGTGCATCCGACCGCTTTGACTTCTCGAACGACACAGGTACATCCAGGCTGAAACTATCGCTACCGGCCGCCCCGGGGGCCCGTAAACAGACCTGGTTGTACTTTCACCCTGTTCACCGTCCCACCGCCAGGGGCCCAGGCACCTGCTGCAGCAGCTGCGCCGCACCATGTCGGCGCGGCGCGCCACGGCCCTGTTCACACAGCTCGTAGCGTCACGCAGTAGCCTCAGCAGAGGCGTCGCCGGGATGTCTGTCCACACCGCCCTGAACACCGTCATCACCCCCGCTGCTGAGGCCGTGCCCAGCGCCTACACCCTGCTCAGGGAGCGGGTGCAGGAGGCATACACCGTCCCCCCCCGCCCGGTGTTCGCTGTCGTGGAGCTGGCCGGCACACAGTACAAGGTCACCCCCAACGACACCATCGTCACCGAGCGTATTCCTGGCGTGGACGTGAACGACCGCATCACCCTGGACCGGGTGCTGCTGGCAGGCACGGCAGACGCCACCATCATCGGCCGGCCGGTGGTGCCGAGCATCACCGTCACCGCGGCAGTGGAGGTGAAGCGCGGATCGTGAGAGCCTGTTCACCTCGTCTGCCTCCGTTCGAGCCCAGGCCATGCCGTGGTCTCGACCGCCGCCCCTGCAACCAACTCGTGCAGGAGCAATTCCTGGATGGCAAGGTGCTCATCTTCCACAAGCGGCGACGGAAGAACTCGCGGCGAACCAAGGGTCACCGCCAGGTGTGGTGTCGGGGCTTGGGACCGGGGTGGGGGTTGGGCTCCATCCCGGCAGGCATGTTTGTGGAGCTCGGGCCTCGCCAGGCTCGCCCGCATGGCTCTGGCTTGGCCGACCAGCCACCGGCACTCACGCCTCTGCCAACCCGCCCCGCAGCCCCTGACCATGCTGCGCATCCTGGACGTGGATGGCGTGGAGGGCATGGGGGATGCATCCCCGGCAGGCACTCAATGAGGCTGGCGATACTCGTGAGCCAGGGGCGGACGTGACTGCCCCTTGGATGGCTGGCGCAGGCAGGAGCATGCAGAGGCCGGGAGAGGGCTGCCGTCTGTGCAGCTTTCGTATCATGCGCACCTGTGCCTGGTGCTGCCCCCTCATCCCTCTTCTCCCCGGGGGGATGGGAGCAGCACGGCCAGGGGAACACCACGGCTAGCTCCACCCTGTCCGCCCAGCCCCATGCCGGTCGGTGCGTGTCAGCCTCCCCTCCCATATCCGCCCTGCCCTTGCCAGCGGCACCGCCCCCCTTGTAACACGCTCCGGGCACTGTGCTCGGTCAGAGTGGGCGCACATGCGTCGTCATCTGCACCCTGTTGTCGAGGGAGTTGAGCGTGCTGTGGTGCAGGTCCCAGCCGGCCGCCTGCGCGGAGGCCGCAAAGGCCGCAAACAGGCCGCCGGCCTCCACCGCCACCAGCGGCCGCGCCGCCTCCGTCCGCGCCGCGCCGGCCAGCCCGGGGGGGAGCTCCGCGGCCAGGCGCATGCGGAAGCCGGGCAGCGCGCCGCCGCCGGCCCCTGCGCCCAGCCGCCGCGCCCACCAGGCCCGGCGCTGGGGCCGGGGTACGGCGGCTGGCAGGTGCGACCCCGAGCTGGCATCGCGGATGGGCCTGGCCCCCGAGCCGCCGCCCGCCTCGGCCCCCGCGCCGCCGCCCGCCCCGAACCCCGCCCCGGCCAGCACGGCCACGAGGAGGTGGCCCTCCACCGCGCCGCGCAGCGCGTCCTGCGGCGCCGCGTCGTCGCGGAGCAGAACGTAGGCCGTGCCGTGGTCGGGGCGCCAGGTCAGCGCGTGGCGTTGCGAGCGCAGCGTGCCCAGCGCGGCGCGCAGCTCGGCCTGGCCCGCGCAGGCCTGCGCCACGCTGGCGCCGATGACCACGCGCCGGGCGGGGGCGTCCGGGCGCGGCAGCAGCACCTCGTTCGCGTTGGCATCCGCGGGCGTGGGCGCCAGGCCTGCGTGAACGTAGAGGGGAGGGAGGCAGGAGGGGGGGGGAGGGGTCGTGGAGACGAGCTGGAGGGGGGTGAGGTGCTGAAGCTGGGAAGCACAGTCGGGCTCAGACCCCAGGGACCAGAAATCCATGCTGACTGGCAGTGGCACAGAGGCGCAGCGGGGAGAGTGCAGGGCCCAAATGGGGCGTAGAGACCCCTTCCGACAGCCTGTTTGGCCCTTCCACCGGTCCAGAAGGAAACACGGACCCCCCACATTGTCGGGCCGGTGCCCGCAGGGCGCATGTCCCTGCACTCAACCCCCTCCTCCCCGCCGGGTCGCACAGCGAGACCCACCCGTGGCCGCAAAGTGCTGCATGCTGTAGGCCAGGCGCGCGCGGTTGAGGTAGGGCAGCACCACCGAGTCGACCTCACGGCGCGAGGCGTACAGGTACCCCGCCGACAGCGCGAGGAAAGCGGGGAGGATGGGGCAGGCCGCGCGGGCCAGCGCTATGCCAAAGGCGGTGCCCACGATGTCGGCCAGGTTGGCCACGCTCTCTCCTGCGCCAGCGCACGCGATTGGGGGGGGGGCGGATCGGGGGCGAGTGCACAGAGAGGCAGGGCGGCCAGATGGCAAGGCACGAGCGCGCCATGCATCCGCCGTGCCTGCACGGATTGGGTATCGCCCGGGACCCTGGCCCCGGTCAGCCCTTCGGCGACCGTCCCCTGCCCTCCCCCTCCGCCGAGCCCGCCACCGCCCGACCCGTCCCGGATCGCACACCTTTGGCCGTGACGTCGGCCAGGTTGTTCACGCGCGCAAAGGTGCGGTAGATGGGGGCGCGGGTGGAGGAGGCAGTGACGGCAGCCAGGTTCTTGGCCAGGTTGGCGGTGCAGGCCAGCGGGAGGAAGGCGCGGGGTGCCAGCGCGGTGGCCAGCTCCAGGGCAGCGCCCGCCTCCATCAGCACGTCGCCCAGCAGCCTGAACTGCTTCAGCTCCCCGTCCAGCGATCGGCCCCTGGAGGTGCAGGAGGGGAGGGTATGGGGGAAAGGGGAGTGTCATCAGTGGGCCAGTCACCAAAGGCTCAGGTGGGCATCCGACCGGCGCAGCACCGTCTCAGGCCACCCCCAGGTGCCGGGTTCCGCGAGGTTAACCATCTGGCACCACGTGCCATGGCCGGCCGGCCCGTCCCCAAAGCGCTCACCAGCGGGCAAAGAGGAAGCGCCCGAACCGGCCCGCGCCGTCCTTCACCACCCAGTTGATGGCGGCGGCCGCCTCGCCCGAGCCGCGGTTGGCCACCCCGAGCGACCCCAGCAGGGAGCGGGTGGTGTAGACGCTCAGGGCGCCGCCGAAGAAGTACTGCACGGCCCGCCAGCTCATGTATTTTGCGTACTGCGGGTCCACCGAGTCGGGAAAGCCCTGCGGCAGCAGGTAGTTTGCAAGGATGTCCTTTGCGCGCCGGCGCCGGGACTCCTGGGGAGGGAAGGAGGGGGGTGGGGGCAGGGGTGAGTTTGAGAGGCCGGGGGAGGATGCAGGGTGTCACGCTGGGAAAGACGAGGGGCGCATGGGTGGAGCTGTGCTTGGGGGCCGCTGACGCTGCGGAGGGGCGACTGGTGCCCAGGAGCCCCGGGCGTGCCTTGAACTCGATGGTGCTGAAGGACGTGGCATTCTCCAGCAAGGATGCCTTGTACACTCGCCGGCCGCGTCTGTTGTGCTCGATGCACAGTGTGGAGGAGGAGGGCTCTGGGGCAGGGGGGGGCATGGAGGGGCAGTCAAGGCCTGAGGTGCCACCACACGTGATGGGACCCAGAGTGGATGCTGCACCCGCGCACTCACCTCCCATGTCACTGCCATTGGAGGCAAGGTATGAGTTCAGATTCTGCAGACTGGTGGACGCAAATGGAGCACCCACCTGCACAGACAAGGAGGAAGAGGGACGCATGGAGGCCGGGGCATAGGGGCATTCAGCATGACGGCATACAGCCTGCAGCTCACAGTGCGGCACGTAGCACCGACTCCCAGTACCCACCTGAACTTGGCCCTCTGGTGCATTTCCTAAGGGTGGGTCAGGTCCGGCGTCTGCCCATCGGGACAGGCCATGGCGCAACGCTAGGACGACCGGGTCAATGCCGCCCGAGCTCGACGGCATCGGACAGAAACTGGAGCACGCCTCATGCAGGGAGCCTCCCAGCATCACAGCCTGCGACATGCAATGGCAGATTTTGATCGAGTCGCCGCACCGCTGCATGCATGCTGGGTGCGACGATCGATGTGCGATCCCTCTGAGCTGTCCCACCACAGTACTCGAGTGGACGCCCCCAACACACCTCCAGCTGGAATCAAGCCGTCGATATGACAATCAGCACATGAGATGGCAGCACACACATGTCGGAAAACAGGGATCTCCTTCACATGCAGACCGGGAATGCATGTGGCGATAGGGCGTACATTCAGTCCAGCAGGGCGCGAGGTCGGGAGATGCCAGAGGCCGGGCGGGGCCCGCCAGATCCTCCCGTCCGACTTCAGAGCTTGGGAGGGGTCACCACGGCCTGCCCGATGTTTCTTGACTTCTTCGCGCCGCAGGCCCCCACCGAGGCATTCGTGCACTGCTCCAGCGTCTCAAAATTGTTGGCGTTGCCCTTGCACCCGCCATATACAAAGGGTGTGCAGCTGCCCTTGCTGCCGTCGTAGGTCCACCGAGTGATGGCCGCCTTGCATGGACCGGAGTCGACGGCCTGGGAGCAGAACTCTGCTTGTGGGGAAACGCTAGCAACCTGCAGCGGTTGTTGCGTGGAGATGGTAGGGGCGTCAGGGGATACACTTGATCAGGCTCGGACAGGCCGAGATTTAGGATGCCAGGCCCCACACGCCACGCTCTTGCACCTCTGCCGGCGGCGGCAACACCTCCGTGGGGGGTTGCGGGATGCAGACACCACATGTCAGTTGGCAGAACCCGCCCTGCATTCATGCATGGAAGGTTGAGGAGGTTGGGGCTGAGTAGTCGGCAAGGTGGTGGATTGCTCTATGGGCCACGACTGGAGCAGGCGGCCGGTGCCTCGGCAACGCAGGGCCCGTCCTGCCTGCTGGCCGCAAGGGTGCCCGCACTTGGGGGAGTTCCTCTGGCGGCATCAGACCAGGCTCCAAGACATGGGTGCGTCGGCTCACCTGGCTTCGTACACACGATCTCAAGACATTTCACAAGGTTTCCCCTCACCTCCCCCATCGAGTAACGGCCACATCATGCACTCACCACGACCATCCACTGCTCGGCACACTTGCCCCACGCCCGCTGCTGTTCGCAGGAGAAGGTATCTGGCGTGGGGCTATCGATGCAATCACCCGTTTCGAGCAGCCTGCGGCCTGGGAAGGGTGCTGCAGGCAGGAAGTGGAGGAGGGGCGGTGAGGGATTATGGTGGCCTTGACCAAAACAGGGCATGCCGGCACTCTGCATGCGCCCACTCCGCGCACATACGTTCATCTTCAAACTCAGGCTCCAGACCTGGCATTTCTGCCTCAGGGCGGGGTGCAGGGTTCGGGCTGGGCGGAGGGGGGGATGACACGCCGGTCCCGGAGGCGGAGGTGGAGGAGGGGGTGCCGGGCCGCTCCAACGCCACGCTGATGGCCACCATGCCGGGGGGCAGGGTGCCCAGCTGCGTGGTGCATTCCCCGTTTTGCCACAAGCAGCTTCCCGAGGACGTTATGACGTTGTTGCAGGTGGCCTCGTCGGTGTAGGACTCACACACTGTGGCGACAACGCCGGGGGTCACGAGGAAGCGGTAGATGAGCAGCAACGCCACGGCACGCCCCTCCAGGAGCCTGATGCGAGGCATCTGCCTGTGTAATGGCATGTTAAAGGGCTGGGGTGCCCAAACACGCCGCGGAGGAGCAGTAATGAGGCTTGCTTTGGCAGACGCGGTTCAAGTTGCGCGAGCTGTCCCAGCCGATTGCGAGGCACTCCCGGTGGCGCGGGTGGGACTGCAGTATCGGTGCGCAGACAAAGAGTGCGGTCGGGATCTGCAGGGCATCCATTCCGCACGTTTGGCCCCTTCTACCCTGCAACACGCCCCCGCAGCGTTGGCAGGGTCTGGGATTCCCCGACCTGGGGCACGTGGTGATTCATGCCGGCAGCATGAGCGTGGCTTGAGCGAAGTGATGGGAGGCCAGAACCTCTTCAAAGAGGAGCACATGCCCAACATATACTCATTCAAGGGTTTCAGGCCGTTACACCCTCCAATGTGGAGCTCGTCCATCTAGCATGATGCTGTTTCCCTCCCCTCCCACTATCAGAGCCTTTGCCCCATGCCAGGTTCTGTGAGCTCGCCACCGTCCTTCTCGCCATCAATGGAGGGGAGTGGGAGTGATAGATGCATCTTCAGCTTGAAAGCGGAAACATCAGCACAGCTTGGCACAGGGCTTCGTTGGCAGCATTGTGACCCCACTGGAAGGCACTACTTGGGCATCTGTCGCAGGGCAAATGCAGGACAGGCCTCCTCCTCGCATTTCCTGGGGTGCTGATGCTGCTGGAATACCCTCTTGCAGCGACTACACTGTGCTGCCACCGGGACAAAGCGGATGAACTTGGTGGAGTTGCGATTGCCTCGTCGGTGAGGGCTCACCTGTCAGGGAAGGGCGGGGGAGGGGCATTTGATCACTGGGTCTGTTATAAAGGTACGCAAGCCAAATACTGGTAAATTAATGCGGCATGAGCTGAGCGTCCTCAACAGGGAGATGTGGAACTCCTTTGCATGCAGCCGTCAAAGGCACTGAGTGAGCCCATGCACGCAGCCTCCTCCATCACAGGCAAAGCAAGGCCCAGGCAGCGCACCTTCCGCTTCGGAACTGCCAGGAGGCCCATGTCCGCTAAGCTGGGCACGAGGGCCCGCATGCTTTCCAGGAAGGATCCCAGGGAAGGGGCTGCAGCAGCCAATGGGGCAAGGTCTCGAGACGGAGGGCACTGCCGCACCGTCACACCCGGCTGATTGATGTAGCGTGCCGCATACCGGGCAAGCCAGCTCATCCTACTCCGTATGGCAGCGGTGACCAGCTCGTGGTGGATTGGGGTTGGTCGCAATGTCAAGAGGCTGCGAGAATGGTACCAACTTCAGCCTGCCACCGAACCAATGCTGCTGTGGTCTATCTCGACGCAGCGCTTGGGACTCCCGCTTTATTTACACTCAATAATCGTTTCAATCAACACCACGTCATCGTGCAGGCCTCCCTTCCTCGAGCGAGAACTTGCCGAGGCATGGAGCGCTGTCCCTCGGTGGTGGAAAGCATGCCAGACAGAGCCCTGTGGGACAAGCTTCTTGCACGCTGGAGGGGAAGACCTAATACTCATTGAGACACATAGTCGACCATAGGCCACGAGTTCAATCGCGGCGCTGATCTTCTGCAACATCTTACGGCTCCTGGTTGAGCCGCGCGTGTTGGCACCCGTGTCGGGTTGTCCCCCACCTTCGGGCTTGCGAGACAACGGGAGGCCCGGCATGACATCGGCAGCTGATTTCCCACTGACGGAAGTGAGTGAGGAAGTGTCAAGAAGCTGTTGATGGCCTAAGGTTGGAGTGGCGCTGTACTGACCTGCAACGCTGAGAATCCTGTCCTTGTGGACCACCCTTGACAGGAGGAGATGCGGGTGGCCAGGATCGACATGGCCTTTCGGGATCGGTGTGCGGACAAGCTGGTGCCTCTGAACAAGTGCCGACGAGCGTCCTTCTTCCTGCCCTGGAAGTGTGAAGAGGAGCGCCATGCGTATGAGAAGTGCGAGTACCTGGAGTATAAGCTCCGGGTGGCAAAGGCCTCTGCAGCGCGACAGGAGGCATAATGGCGGGAGGTCACGTGGAGCATTGGGCTCGAGGCTGCGGCACCAGACGCGAGTCTTCCCCAACAGCTCGTGCCTGAGTATTCCGTGGAAGGCTGCGCTTGGGCCAAGTATTCTCCATTGCTGAGCCCTCTTGGCTCCCTGTGGGTTCCTGTCCTGGTCAGTCAATCCATGGGCTCCTCATCTCCCCTGGTGACTTCTGAGCACATCTTGTCAGCAGACTAATACATCGTCAGATCCAGAAAAGCTGAGGTCGATACCGTGGAATGTGGTGGCATGGCATGGCTGTTCATTGGTTTGGGGGTGCCATAGAGGAGGTGTGAGGATCACCCCACTCCCCATTGGGCAGAACCTTCAGAATGCTGAGAACTGCTGAGCGTCGTCTGCATCCGATGGTATAAGCCTTTACTATGCTGTGTGATAGGCCCCTCGGTTGTGCGTCATGCAAACACTCCGAAGAGATGAGGAGAGGCATGAGCAGGAGGCAAGCATGACATCCCACAGCAGCCTGTCGGTGGCTTCGGGTTTGGGGGGCACCATCTCTGGGCAATAAACGCAAGCGGCAAAATTCGCGCCTCTTGGACGTTCCTGTGGATAGAACACGCACACTTGCTTGCCGGCTGCGATGTATTATGCCGTGTTTCAGCCATTTTGGCGGTCGATCAAGCTTGATTTTGGGCTCTGATGGCGGTAATGAAAGGCCGAAGTGGGGTGGAAACCGGAATCCCTAGCACATGGGTCACGGACTACAATGTCTTCCATGTGAGCCAAGGCAGTCGCCTTCTCTCACATGTTGTCGATCTCAGGAAGAATGAGAACTGCTGGCGCCCCTGCAATGGCATCGCGGGCCGTTGTGTGGCGTCGAGCCCTCCATGTTTGCTGCGCCCATCCGGGGCCACTGGACAGGAACCGCCCCGCAACTCCTGCCCCGATGTCAGAGGGGCTTCGCATGGACAGGAGGCGGGTCATGACCTCGCTCGGTCTGTCGACAGGCCTGCTCACGGGCCTCCCGAATGATGCTGGGGCGGTCCAGGGCTCTATCGCTGGGCGCCTCCCCGGGGCAGGCGAGCCTGACGACGAAGGGTTCCTGCACTACACCCGGCCAGAGGGGAAGTCCGGTGAGTGCATGGCTCACCTGTCCCGAGAAACCCTCTTGGCGCTGCTTGCTCACACCACGGGGTGCCATGATCCGTGCCCTCGTGCATGGTGCACCCCCACGTCGACCCCTCCCCACCCCCCACCAGGCGGCCATGGTGTGGGCTGGAGCGAGATGCCCCGCTACTCCCTGGTCATCCCCTCGGGCTGGGAGGAGCAGCCCGTGTCCATCGCCGACCTTGGGGGCACCGAGATCGACATGCGCTACTCCAGCCCGGATGAGGGGGCGCTGTCTGTGGTGGTGGCCCCCATCCTGCGCTTCCTCGACGTGGGCTTCAATGCCAACGTCACGCTGAGCGACATCGGGAGCCCCGAGAAGGTCCTCACAGGTGCTGCTTGGAGGGCAGAGGGTGGGGGGACAGTCGTGCCTGGCCTGGTAACCCTGCACGGCGCTTCCTCCGCTGGTTCCCTCCCGGCGCACCCTGCCTCCCCACACCTTTGACTGGGTGTGATGCGTGAGGTGAGGCCGCGCCTGGCTGCGACAGAGCCCAGCGCCACAGACTTGCTGCCCTCCTCATCCTGCCCCCCTCGACACCGCCCTGCAGGCTTCGCCCCCGAGATCACGGGCAGCCCCATCTCCGAGGAGGATGTGATCCGGGCGGCGACCGAAACCAAGGACGGCATCCCTTACTACCAATGGTGAGGAGGCGGGCCGTGGGCGTCCCTCCCACGCTGTGCAGGCCCACCTGCTCCCGGCTCGACGACCCCTGAGGCCTCAACCACCCCCAAATGTGTGCAGGGACGTCAAGCCCCACGTCCTGGTGTCGGCGACTGCGGTGGGGAACCGCGTGTTCCTGCTCACCATCACTGCCAACGGGCGGCAGTGGCGCAGGGCAGCACCTCGGCTGCGACGGATGCAGCAGTCCTTCTACGTCCCCCCCCTCGCCGCTTGATCGATCCCATGAGACTGACCCGCTCTGTTTGTGATTCCCTGGCTTTTGTGTACGATGCTTGGTTGTTGGGCGGGACTCCATGAGGAGCTTCCCCATCATTAACCCCGCAGCACGCGCCGCACACAGGTATCACACAGTTATGGATCGCCCCTCCGACGGAGGTTCTGCTGCATCACACCCCATGAACAGTTGCGACCCTGGTACGCATCAACAAGTTGAGTTTTCATGATGCGCTGCTCCATCACCACACCCTCCCCTGGCTAAGCGTGCCGGCTGCGAAACCCCTGGGCGAATGCCTTGCTCGGTGCAGACCATGCGCGCCAGCTCTGTGGCATGGCGTGGCCGGGGCTGGAAATCCCATGTTCCTTTCACATGTTCAGCCCAACCCCCAGAGCTCCACCCCCTCATCACTCGCCATCGGGCCTCGGGTGCTCCAGCCTCCCCGCATGCCCCCTCCACACACCGATCATCCGCCCCCCGGCACCCCCGCGTGGCGGTCGGCGCCCTGCTTGGGGACCAGTCCGTGCAAGACGACCTCGCCCATGCCAATAACGTTGCCAAGGTGGGGCCGTTGGATGGCATCGACACCGTCGCCGGCAGGAGTCCAAGGAGGGAAGGGGGGCCACCTTCTATCCCATGCATGCTCATGCCCTGCATGCGCGCTCACCCATCAGGGCCCCATCTCCCCCACCCCACCCCCACCTGCAGGTCCCCCCCTCCCACATCCGCAACTTCTGCATCATTGCCCATATCGACCACGGCAAGTCCACACTGGCCGACCAGCTGCTGCTGGCCACGCACAGCGTGGCCCAGCGTGACATGCAGGCCCAGTACCTGGACGGCATGGACCTCGAGCGGGAGCGGGGCATCACCATCAAGCTGTGCGCGGCGCGCATGCGCTACCGCGGTGCGGCCGACGGCCAGCAGTACGCGCTCAACCTGATCGACACCCCGGGGCACGTCGACTTTGCGTACGAGGTGTCGCGCTCGCTAGCCGCCTGCGAGGGCTGCCTCCTGGTGGTGGACGCCAGCCAGGGCGTGGAGGCCCAGACCCTGGCCAACGTCTACCTTGCGCTGGAGTCCGACCTCACCATCATCCCCGTGCTGAACAAGATAGACCTGCCCGGTAAGGGGGATGGCGAGGCGTGTGTGTTGTGTTGGGGGGT